GCACAGAACCAGTCCAGCAAACTATTACAGCATATGAAACAGGCCAAGTTGGCTTTCAGAAGCTTCACCTAACCTGCAGGGCTGGTGTTGTCTTTGTCACAAACCACCCACATCACACTCAGCCAAAATGCAGCTGGGGTCATTTCTGAATGAAAACTCAGATTTATTTTCAGTGCAGTATTTGGTGAAAAGGGGAAAAACTTTGAGAGGTGTGCATGCCTAATCCTTAGCAGAGAGATATGGGTAAGAATCTTTTCCAGATCTTGATGTGTATAAGTAGCTAGAATGATCCAAGGCCTTTATTCAGCTCCTCACACATGCTGGACAAGCTGAGATATCCCTTATTTTAAGAAACTATTCTTTACTCCTTTGATGTGCTGCAGGAAGGAGAAATCTGAGTGACTAAATAGACACATCTTTACTAAAGGCTGCTTCATTTTCCAAAGTCATGTTGTTTACTCAGATGAAGCATACAGACTTTAACTACCCTCAAATCAACAGCATCATCATATTCATAGTTCCTTTAAATTTAAAGGAGATACATTTCATAGACAATACATAAAAATTACCTCAGCAATCACTTAAGTACAGGAAGTTATGCTCAAAATTTACTTCTGGGATAACCTAATCCTACCTAAAAAATGTAAGGTAAAAATTACTGTATGTGTAGACTTCCAAAAGCCAAAAAATGTGGGATTAAGTCACCTTTTTAAAAAGATTAAATACTAGTTGTATTAGGCATGGCTGGCTCTGTTAGTACAACACAGAAATACTGCAGAGAAGAAAGGGAGATTATGATTTAAATTTCTGTCTATGATTTATCTATTTCAGTTGGTTGAGTTGCATCCTTTTTAATGAATGCAGTGAATCATCTAAATCACTTAAATTGAGACTGAGAAATTACAGACTTGTTTCTCCCCTTACCAGTACTTTCCCACCACTAAACTACATCTTGTGAGGACAAAGACTTCAAGTATTTGCTAACAATATATTAGTTCTCAATTCAACACAGAAAATAATTAACAACTTGGGTGAGAAGGTTATAACTTTCTATGGAACCAATAATGCCATAAGCTATGGAAACATCAGCATGTTTCCGATAGTTATCCATCACTGCAGAGCTGGAAAAGGAATAATGTGCTGTGCAACTATTTTCTGTACAGCACAAAACCACACTTGATTTCTTCACGCATTCATAAAAGTTTCAGGGCTATTGAACAGATTCTCATCCTCACAATAATGTAGCTCTTCAAAGGTTGTTTTCTTATAAAATTGCTATATAACAACACCCCTACAATTCATCAATATGTATTTTTACATACTTTACATAAGTTAGAGTCTCCTAGACTACAGAACTCATTCCATCAGTGGAATAAAAATCATGTCAAGATGGTCATATGGCATCAGTTGTCGTCTGCTTTTGCACAAGTGTCTGACAGAACAGCAGGAGCCACGCAAAGTATGGAGCATACAATGAAAGCAGAACCTCTGAGAACACAGGCACAGGATGACTTTGGATGACCCAATGCATAAATAGGAATCAAATACGGTCTATTACTGATGCAGCCTTTACAGCTGGATAAAATGTCTTTGAGCATAACGAAGTGGACAAAGTTCATGTGTAAAATGTTCCATATATGGCAAAACAGAGGAGATAAGAAAACATAAAAAGATAAGGGCTTCCAAGAGAAAAAGAACAAAGAAAGGACAGAGGGAATAGAACTGCTCCATCATTGCCATCCCCATTCAAGTATACCATACCAGATCTACCTATTTATCCACCCAAGTCCTCCTTCATCTTCAGTGGAATAAGAGAGGTGTTTTTTGGTTTGCCACCCAGCTTATTTTGCTAATGCAACTAAACAATCATACATAAAGCATTTTATTTTGCTATCTAACTGGATGAAAAAACAGCATGTGTATGGGTGCGTGCTTTTTGCTTCAGCCTTCCAATACTAAGACTGATAACCACACCTCTGAATCTGAGTAAACTCGGGAGCAGACTGAGTACAATATGTGGTATTTTCTGTCTGGGGGTATTATTTTGACTGATTCTGTACATGAATAAGAGTCCATGAGACTGAGAAGCACTGTACATCTGGATTGGCATGTATGTTTTGTTCGGATCCTTGCTAAAGCTGAGAATAAAATAATGATGTTAGACAGCTTCCAGAAACCAGCTTTTTAAGAATGCCGTTTTGATTTGGTCCTTTCAAAGAAATAAACTATACTTTCAAATCTAGTTTACGTTAACTACAGAAAAAGAAAGAGTCTTTGACTGTATGTGCCTCTTTTTTTTTTTTTAACTCTCAATAGCAGAACTGACAAGTTCCCCCGCCTTCCTGATTTTTTTTTTTTCTTGTAAGCATTTTTCTTTTTAGTTATGTTGTTTAAAATGCAATGTTGGCAATGAAATATTGCTAGAGGCTTTGGACTGATGCCTTCTGAAGCTTCCACTTTTCTCAACTTTTACTAGCAATAAAGAATTTGTTTCTAGAAACATGTAATTTTAATTACAAAATTACCCCAAAAACATAAATGGAATTTAATTGGTTACAAAGTAATATTTTCACATAATCAAGCAATTGTTTGGGGGGGTTAAGGCATAATTTATTAGCTCTGGATAAGGTGCACATTTTGATTCCTACAGGCAAATAACAAACTGATTAGTAAGTGTAATAAAGGAGTTTACTTGTCTGACAATTGGCAGCTAGAAGTGCAATAACTTACTTGATCAATTGCCATTTTAAAGAGCATTAAAGCTCCTCATAATTACACTATCTATATGGTATGCAGATAAACAACAATACAGCATTACCCCTATGACACTAGTGATTTAATATGATGTTTCTGCCAGGTTTTGTACCTTTCTACATAATGCAAAAGGAAGTAATTACTTTTTGTACTGAAAGATTGAAAAATTGACTCCTTTTTAGATATGCAAAGAATTCTGACTATAGGAAGAAATAAAGATGATAGCTTCTTCAGATCAAATTTCATTTAGCTCTTCAGCATTCTGTAGTTGTAAAGTGAAGATAGCCACCTCTCTCTGGCAGGAAGCTTTTCCAATTTGTTACACAAAGTTAAGTTCTTCTCATGTTCCTTAATTCAGTTGATTTCTCAGGTAATACCAATAGTTAACAGCTTATGGATTCCAGTTCTCTGATGGCCTAGCCTCACTGAATTCACTGGATCTAAGCCAATACAGGAAGCCACCACAGAGCCAATAAATACCATACACATTTCAGACAGACATTATACAATGGAAAAGACTAAGACAAAGGTATAAGATCACCTTTTTGAGATCAAACGATACTTCAGTGATCTAGGTAAGGTAATATTTACCAGTCAGAAGTTCAGATGAACTAAAGTACACTGCCTTGAGAAGGTCAATAGAGATTGTCTTAGCTTCCTACTGTTTTATTGAAAATGTCTTACACCCAATTAAAAAGAACACCAGAAAAAATATATTAAAATCACACAAGTTTTATGAAAAAGCGAACAAGTTAAAAAGCTTAAACACAAAGATGAGATATGATGTATTGTAACATGCAAAGACACCTAAACACACACACATTCAGAAAACAGTTATTCTCATTTCAACTCAACATCAGTACAATTAACTTCATTCTTCTATTACTCTCAAAGAATCTCATTTAAAACAGATTTACAAAGCAGATTTATTTTAAAGTCTTTGGCAGAGAATCAATTCTGGAAAGCTATTCTGTGCTGTATGAGAAAGGTCAAAAACCTTGTTAAAATTCTAACGGAATTTAAGTTTTAATGACTGAAAACTTACGTTCTGCATCACTGAAAACTATAGACCAATGTTTGTACTTATTTATATTTCTCATTAAGCCAAACTACACAAGTACAGGCCTATTATTAAGAAGCTCAATATATTTAGATTTCTAACAAAGTTTTGAGAAACCTTACATAATTTAATTTTCATAGTAAATATTTTAATTAGTGGTAGATTTCCCTTTTACACTATGATCTTTCAAAAAAAGGTGGAGGAATGCCAAAGAAATACCACAAGTCATTCTTTGGACTCTTTATTCCACTGACAAAGTTGTGAATTATCTGTCCATTGGCTCACCTTTTACCTCTTTTACTGAAAAAGACAAGTAGTGGCAGATTTTCCTAGCTTTCTAATACCCAATCAATCTGCTGTCACTAATGACTTCTACCTCAAATCATCTCCTTGAAGTAGAGAAGCATTCTATAGTCCTATTAATGGAGAACTGAGGTACAAGGTAAATGTAGCAAATTCTACAAACAAGCCTGTGGCAAAGTTGTGATTTCCAACACCTCTATCTTAACCAGTTTATGCACTGTTTCCTCTAGTTGCTAGTGCATTCCTTTAATAACTCTACCACCTTCACATATCACTTTCTCAGAAATCTTTCCGGTTCCTGTGAATATTCCCAGTGCTCGGATGCAGTGATGACCAGGAGGATCTCCAACCTACAGCTGGAGGCTTCCTGCTTCCCTTTTTCCCAGTAGTTTGCAATTCTTACAGATTCTAGAAGAATTAGCATTAATACAGAGACAGCTCTCTTGCCACTTATTCAGGATTTGCATAGAAGTTTGAGATAAAAACACAAAGTCTGTGGAGTCATCCAATGCAATACTCTCTTTAGATATTATTAGTAATCACTAACTGAACTACTCTAGCATTAGGTGAAAATTCTGCATGGAAAAAAGGGTAAACTATCATTATGTAATCTACCTTTCAATTAACAAATTGCTGATTAATTCAATCTCTTGCTGATAGTCTCTCTGACAATAATTACTCCCCGTAGCATGTAACACCTGTGGTATTTAAAAATGTCTCACTCCCCAGTCTGACCTACCTGCATAATAGGGATTCTGAATCTGTTCTACTTAAAAATCAACATAATACATTAATTGCTAGAAAAATCCTTACTTGTCAATCATCATTTTACACTGTACAGTATAAAGAACACAACAGAGTTGCATTTCTGTATAGTACATACCCCATGTTCTTTAGCAGCCATAACCACTTTTGAAAGAATATCTTCTTCAACAAACGGCCTCACAGCATCATGGATAATCACTACTTCTGGTTTCTGGAGTAGATGGTTGGAAAATTCATTCTCCACAAATACTTTCAGTCCATTGAAAATTGACCGGTGACGAGTTATTCCACCTTTTACTATCACAACTCTTTTGTGGCCATATTTTTCAATGATAGACTTCATTGTTTCAATATTTTCAGGAGAGACCACCACAATAATGTTGGATATCCAACTTATCCTATAAAAAACAGTACAAAAACAGAGAAAGTAGACATGAATGACTAAATAAAAGCACAGGTATCTCCATGATACAAAGAAATTCATACGGAAGAAATTCAAGCAGGCTAAATAAAACATCCCTCAATATATTCAAGTCCATGTTTTTGTGCGTGTATTAGCACTCCACCCCTAAAGGGAGAGCTACATGAGAGGATCTCTACCAATACATGGACGTCAACTAATGTAACTGGAATCGAAAGAAAAAAGCACCTTCTGCTAACCCTTTGAAAAGCCTTCAAAACATTTCTTACTTTAGCCTCATTCCTAGCTTCAAATGTAACTTCTAAATTTATCAGCTACAGTCTGTTATTTTAGCTTTCTCTAAATTCAGTCTTCAATGAATTGGTAAATCCTTGGACCTGTTCTACTGTGCAGTACACTCTACAAGTAAGAGGATCAAGAAAACCTCTGAAACACAAATCACAATGTAAAAAAATAGCTATGCTAGACAAAATTACCATAATATTTTTAGAGAACTTCAAGCTTCTACTGTTGGTACCAGGCTAACTCTACAACTGAAAGGTGGTATAGGAAGAGAATGGCCCACATCCCACAAGATTAAAATCAGTCATAACTGAAGTTAGGCTGAAGTCATACTTCTGTCAAAGGGCCTAGGAATACAAATTATAGTCACATGTAGCACACTGTACTTCAAAATAACAGACATATCGTAATTCAAATCCAGCTATTTGAGTGGTTTATTTCCTAAATGCTATATAGAGAACATTAAAAAGGATTGGTTTATTTCCTTTCTGTGTCTCCACAGATGACAGGAGGGCTTTTTAGCATGACTGACAAGAAACTCATCAGATAAGCAATGATTACAAAAACAATTTACTACTCAGTATAGTAAAATTACTCATGTGTAGCCTATACATCCAACTAGGAAAAAAGAGAGACAACTATGGTATATTCTCTCAACTGAAACTAGCAAAGCTATTGAAACTAATTTTGCAGACACAAGACAGGCTAAGGTATTAAGTACTTCCAGTTAGAAAAATAAGAGGCAGAAATTTACAGTACAGAAATATACAGCCTCAAGGGACTGGTTTCTGCAATAACACATGAGAAGGCATTGCTTAAAAACTATCCTTACTCCAAAACCGAAGTCATCGTGATACAAACTGCACCCCTAGAACTATGTCAAACAAAAGAGCATCTTCCACCTTCTGTACATTTTTTTGGGCAATTAATGGAATTTCACGAAAATTACTTCAATTAATTTTAAAATAACTATTAAAAATAAAATCAATAGAAGTGCTATTAGTATTTTTCAAAAGAAAAATATTTGTCCTTATGTTCATTTTATTAATAACAAAGGCAGAAAATACAGCCAAACCAACATACTCTCAACATTTTATGAGTATTGAAGTTGTTCAAATGTAAAATCCGAAGTCATATGGTTTCAAGTTTCATTTCAACTTGTCACTCACCACAGGTTCATCAAGAGGTTTTCAAATCTCTCAAATGAGTCCTGGCATAGTCTTACATTTAGCCAGAAAACTCAGCATCTCTGCATGACTTCAACTCAGAACTAGGGCAAACTAATTGGATTAATCTCAGCTCTTGTTTTGAATATTGAAAGTCGGTCGATTAAATAAAGCAAAATTCAAGAAGAGCTATTTCACTCAAAACAAGAATAAGAACTCTGCTCTTCTATTTGCAGAAAGACTATAGCCTTACACAGTTCCTAGAAACAGTGGACAGTCTGCACATTCACTGGTGAATGTGTCAGAAGAGCACTGACATTTCACATTCTGGAGTCAAACGAAAAAGATTATGAGGCAACTGGGTAGCACACAGCATCTTCTGAGAAGGGAACACAAGCAGTGGTCAGCCTATGATAAATCTCTGCACAGGGTGGGTGGAATGGCTCAAGGCCTCCAGTGGTAGAATACACCAACAAGTGACAGGATGCGGTCAGAGCTCCACCCTGTGTCTGGATAAACACATTTATAAACTTGAGTGTGTCCTTCAACTGACTCTGGACTAATGTTCTATAATTAGAGCCGGGATTTAGAGATGCAACCTATTCGTGTAGGAGTATAAAGGTATCCTCTAGATTGGTTAGGTACAAGAACTGCTTAGACTTCAAAGCCTAACATATCCCACCAAAACTCATGAAAGGTAAAATCAGTTATGTATGCTACAAATTCTCATAAATAAGAACGTGCAACACACAGGTGCTTAAAGATCTGCTTGTGGAAATGTTGCAAAATGTTCTAATGAAATAGAAAGTATACACTCAATCAGTATACACTCAAACTGGCAGTAAATGGATTTGGGTTTTTTTGTCCCTCCCTCAAACTTGTCACGCCCTTTTCTTCAGAAAGATTTCATACTAAAATAATAAAAAGCTCAGGACCTGCTCAAAACCAGTTTAAAAACAGTAAGCACCCTTTCAATTTTATAACTGTAATATTAGATCAAGATAATACAAGCTTCCGAATAAAACAGCACAAGGCATAAAAAAGATCAGAATACCATACCCCAGTGTGCTTTAATGGGCACTAGGTACAGAACTCTAGTGCTTCTATACAACATAGGCCATAGTTCTAAAGTGGAAAATCAGGTCTGATCAAATGAAACAAAATGAACAACTACAGTTATAATCACTTTATAGCTGCCTTGGGAGGACCTCAATGTTAGTAGAAGGAAAACAATGAGGCAGAAAAGGGCTGTATGTTTCCTGTGACTGTCCTCAACATCATCTCCTATCAATAGACCAACTAGCTGCCTAGTAGAAAATAGTACTGTTTCATTAAATTTCAAAAAGTACATATATTCATATTAGCTAAGCTAGAACTCAAAGTAAAGGAGCGCATTAACTCAGCAACAGATTAAGCTATTACATGACTTCACAACACAGACCGCAGAGGAAACTGAACAACCCCTAAATTATGCTCTGCGACTGTATCACCATTTAGGTGCACGCTGGAGTACAAACCTGACTGACATTTAACCCTCTATCAGTTCATTCACATACAAACCAGTGCTGATCCGGAAATCTGACATAAGGCTTAAATACTCACTCTCAGTTTCTTGCAACTCTTACACAATCATCAACAACCCATTTACCAAACAACCTACTGAAATCAGCAGCTGTGTCTGCAAAACAAGGCCAGAACCAAGCAGTCACTGCTGAGATGGCTTTAGTAGTTTAAGATACTATCTTTCACTGCCACAGAAACTCTTCAGAGGTACAAGGTAAATCATGGTATTAGTTTTGATGACCATCAAAACTATTCAAGAATCAAATGAGAAAATGAACTGTCAAGAACAAAATGCATTTGCAGAATGCAGGCATAACTCCCTTTTGCTCCATAATAACTTTGTTATGACTTTACTGATATATGAAAAAAATATATGAATACATACGGATCCTTTACGGTACAAAAATGGAAGCTGGGAGCTTTTAAGACTGTAAAGTTTGACAGGTACATTAAGGAAGTTTTGATTATCTCAGGTACAGAAGCCATCCATTTTTTCCTAAAAGAAAGCATTCCTTAGTAGTCAGACAAGATATCTTCATAAAGTTAAAATAATTAGATTGTTTGCTGTGATTATTTTTAGCTCATAATTTTAAGATTAAGCTAATGATAAGTGGACAAAAAGAACTATCACAATAGATACATTTAACAGAATTGTAATTATGTGACCTGTAGGGCCAGTGAACATGCATCAGCCGATGAGGAAAATAGTTGGCAAATAAAGCACCCAAGACCCTTGCGAAGAGGCGATTGTTTGGAAGCTTCCCCAGGTGATGTTTTTTGATACCAAGGCACCTGTTTTAAGAGACTATATTACAGTAAACAAAGCTGTCTGAAACCTTTATAGAAAAATTTTATTCTGCCATCAAACACAGTCACTGCTTTCCTCTTTCATAACTTCTCACAGTACTTTCAACAACTGGTGAAATAAGAGCACAGCAAGAATACCATCAGCTTATTTGTCCCTCAATGATTCTAAAATCAACCTTTACCTTAGTCTGTTTTCTGCTCTATAGCTTTATTAAAGTATGTGTGCATACATGCAGAGAGACAAGATTCCGTCTCAGAAAAGATACTGGAAAGATTCTAAATAAACATAGACCCAAATAAAAGAGAAGGAAGAACCCTACTAGTTTGTACAGAAGCAAAAAGGAGTAATGCCATTCTAGCCCTGTTGAACTTGATGCAGAAGCCTTACACAGTTCAGTTCAACAGAAGCAGAAACAAATCCGATGTGAAGGACATTTAAATTCTCCAACACACTTTCATTTTACCCCCAAGGTAGGACCTGACCTTCCTATTAGCACCACTGTACTGACAATTAAAACCACTCATTTCTCCTCACCCTCTCTTCCTAAGGGCATGATCTTTGATTATTATTGGCAGGTCAACCTTCTACATGCTGTCATCCTATGCAACAGGATGCACTGCCTATTCATTCATGTATGCTCTTGTCTTGTCTGACAGTTTTTCCACCTCAACATTTAAGATTCTCACTACTTTCAGATGAGCAGAGTAAGTGTCTTTCTCTCCTGATTTTTAAAAGCACACATACAGCAGCTTCAGATTCTTGATTTGCTCACATATTTCTGTCTGTATGTCGCTATGTTTTTTTCCAGTCTCAAAAAAAGCTCAACAATAGCTGTGATAACCAGTCCAATATTCAAGAGTCAAGGATTCATTGAATTACAGCAGGTAAACAATAGACATCAGAAGACAGTATCATGCTAAACTGTGAGAGACGAGAAACCAGGCCTGTGAGAAACTAAGATAAACAACCCAGGAAAGCAAAAGTTGAGACTGATTAAAGAAATGCCTCAAACACTCACAAGACAAAACTATGAGCCACAGGGTGCATTCTGTGGAGGTCAAAGCTGATAACACTGCCAGATGTAGCTGGCGGAGAGAGCCCTGTGGAGACAGGATGACTCTCCTCTGGGGCACTTGGGCAAATTTCAAGGGCCATGTGTCCAGTGAATGAACTTTGCTTCATTATCCATGAAATGCATATTAAAGTTAACACCCCTCAATATGCTAACAGGGGCTAACATTATCATGCTAATCACATCA